ATCAAGGCAGAATTTAAGATAGTCAGTCAGATTGGAAATAGTATCATCCAGAGTGTGTTCAGTGAAAAGTTCCCAGTTTGTGTCATTTAACATACATCTTAGTTTGAGCACGTTTTCTTGTGAGTAACATCTTTGTTGTGTTTTCCTGCAGAGATTCGAGAGGATATTAGAGTGATATCTGCTATATATCTTGGGTAATATCCGAATAATACAATGATCAGAGTTCATTATAGGAGCACGTCTGCGTGCTTCATATATTTCCGCATCATTAGTAAATAATAGATCCAGAGTTTTATCAAGTCGAGTTGGAAATTTGACAATGTTGACATGACCTAATGATTCAAGAAAAGAACAGTCACAGGTATTGAAATCTCCAGTGACAACTGATAAAGAGTTTTCAAGATGTGTAACCGCGAATGCTGTGAATTCATCGGCAAAATGAGATAGATCCGAGGCGGAACATCCAGGAGTAACATAAATGTTTGAGATGAAGACGTATTTAAACTTGGATAGGTGTTTCGGACGACATTTGACTGTAATACAATCAATAAAGTCACTAGAGAAAGAAAAACATACATTATTTGAAGTTGACCACTGAGAATGAATGAAGGTTGCGACTCCTCCACCTCTTTTCTTTCTAGAGCATATTCGATCTTGTCTAAACAATGTGAAACCATTTAGAGAAACCAGGTTGCCGTCATAAAGATCATGGAGCCATGTTTCTTGTAATGTGACTATCGCAGTATTGTGATGAGTATCAGATGATAAGAGAGACTGGAGATGCATAATTTTGTTGGGAAGTGAACGGCTGTTTGAACTGACAATAACAGGAATAGTTGTGCGATATAATGGTGTCCTTTTGAGAGCGCGTTGCCAACCACCATGATGTTTTCTCTTAGTTTTATTAGATGCATGAAAGTCATATGGTTTAAAACATTACTGTATTTGATACGATTTGTGACCATATTTTGTTAAAATTAAAAATGGAAACATGATGTATTAGATGCAAATATGTAGATGTACAGAAAGGTAGCCCAGATGTCAAACAGGCCGCCGTTATTATTATTATTTGGAGGTATTCCCAGTTACTGCGAAACGAATAGTCACTGAGCCAATGAAACTGTTATTGGCTCTGCAGAAGTCCCTGAAGAGATATCTGTCCTCATACAATGATATTCTAGGAAACTGATTGGTTATATATAAGGACAATCCATAATGGAACCAATTATTTAGGCTGCTCTCAAAGATTCGAGATCACTTCCCGTTTCTTTTCGATTAGGAATAACGCTCACGATTGTTGCATGGCCATCTTCTTCTAGACCCAAGCACTAGCCATCATACTTACCGACTATTTATCCCAACCTATCCAACTTGTTTGCCACCACCCCGACGAGTGAAAAGAGAACATAAGACTGACAGCTACTGGAAGATGTATTTATTGACAATGATTTGGAGTGAGTGTGAAAGTGGACAATCACACCACAACTAAGTTGCCGAGCTCTTGTCCCTTCAAAATTACATTGGCCAATGTGCGCTTCAATCCGCACGAATAGACAAGCTGATTTTTGAGAGTGGGGCGGCTAAGGTTCAAATGAGTTGACGAACTTTTTTGATCCCTCACAAAATGAGTCATTATTACCACATGTAAGTGTTTTGAATCCTGCAGGCTGACAGAGGTAAGTGAAATTAATTTATTTCTTGCTGTTCCTTATTGAGAAAGTTTGTCTCTACTGCCGCAGTTAAGTGTGAAAGGTTGAGGAACATCAAAATCTTTCAGAAGTTATAGAAGGACATCCATTTCATCATTCTGCATTTGTATTAGAGAGAACTTCGCCATTAAATTACTTTCAGCGAAGTGAAGCATACTCCACTGGCCTTCGTAGAAAATTGAGTATCCTCCATATTAGCTCACCATGTGTGTTACTAATTCAAGGTCTAGATACAAGATATGGCCTGGAATATTCTGATCCTATTAATTATTTCAAACTGCGAAGAAACTGGTAGTGCTGTACCGCTCCTTTCTGAATCCTTGTTGAGCGACGTTCAAGGTATTGGTTGTCAATGTCCAGGTCTAACCACACTGGACTTAACGCTGTCCTTAGAAGACCTTAAGCAACAATATGCAATAACCAATGCGAGAAAACAGAACACTGATTGGTGACTTGAGAATCCTTTATTGTCGCACCAATATGGAACCAACCATAAGGTCATTATACACAAAGTCTAAGAATAAATGCCATAACAATTAATCACAATAATACTTCTGATAATATTTCTCAGTCTTCTAACGAACAGCGCACGATGGAACGATGTCTGCAGTATCGGTGACCACCGCCAAAATATGGAGTTGGTTTTGAGCAAACAACCATGAACCGATCGTTCATTCCTCAACTACATTGACACTGGTTTCGTTCGGGTGCTCCCTGATGTTATTATTTTTGGGACGCCCACCTCCATCTTTCACGTTGTTCACAGCAGAGTTGCAGTTGTTTAGGCCTTCGAAATTCGCTAAGCTGATAGAACCACACTCCTACTAATACTGTCGGTAAGAAACATCTAAAAACTCTAAAATTTTACTAAATGGGAGACTCAGACATTAAGCACAGTTTTGATGTCGTCACATCTTGAGGGCTTTCCTGGATGGAACATTTATAAAATCTGCAAAACTGAATTTACTTAATGAGGAGTAATCTATGCGAAGTCACTCTGACTTGTGGGTTGCCAGAGGAAACTTTTCTCGTTGTTCACCTGTTTTCATTTATATCAAGAACGGCTTCAAGACGTCACTAGATTATCAAGGGTTTTGAAGCTGTAGTTTCTTACCACACGATCATTGGTCAGTCCTTTTTCCCATACTTATGAATCAGTACAGATTCTAGGAAGTAGTTTGCAATCTCTTTTGTATATTTTCTTGGATTGTCTTTGTATCCACTCGCACTCTAAAGTCACACCGATTTTTTACACGACTAGTTATGTTGTATAGTCTCCGCTAGTGGCACACCCATCTTTTGCACTTTAGAAGGCATTTTGTGACTCTTTTTATTCCTTTAGTTCTATTTCGCGTTCTCACAGTTATCATAGGGATGTAATCATCGATGGTCTTCTTGACATCCTCTTCCATCTACTTCCACCGATCATCGGTCGTTGATGAATGGTAGTCTTGTGGCTATGGCAAACATTCCAGATTTTCTCTCATGAGGCTTTACCGTGGCTGTATTGAATAGGCAGGTTTTTAGCCTAATTACTATTCTACAATTGAGTCAAAAATATTACTGTGTGGTCACTGCTGTCCATCAGTGGTTCTACGTGTATATTCAACATGAGCAAATGTTAGCCGCTAACAAATTATTCTAACCACGATGGTTTTCTTCTTGGAGTGAAACTTGCACCACTCTCAATGGGACATGCAACCCAGAAGTTGTGATAGAGTTCAGTAGTCTTCCACCGAAAGCTCTCCTCTAGGTGTGCATCAGTACCGATGAGTGTCGTCGCAAGATGTAACGGTTTGGCCACTACATATATCGGCGACCTTTACACTCCTTTTATCAAGGGCCTGACATCGTTGAATACTTTTCAGCTGAAGACTGATTCCGGGAGTTCATTATGTGTTATGCTAGCTGCGGACATCAACAAGTATTGGCTGCCTATATGCATTAGTGTACCTCCGCTGCTCCTTCCTCTTAGGTCTTTTCTTAGCATTGTTATCCCAACTATGGTCATCTCACACATCTTAACAACGCCTGGTAACTGCCTTCCCTGGACTTATAAGAGGCGGCAAGCAATGACAACACACGGACCTGAAATCGGTCGTCTTGTGTCTCAGATCCCCGTCCTGGCCTTCAAGGCACTGAAGTTTTCCCTCACTTTTTAGATCTTATGTCTGGTGATTATGCATAATGTTGTATCGCATTTACAAAAGTACCTTGCATCCCTAACAGTTTTGCTAGAACCGGCACTACTCCGTCTTTTAGAGGCATTCAGTTGTAACTAGGAGCAACTCCCTCCACTGCTCTACAACAATCCCTGGAAGCGGTTCAGGGTATTACCCTTTTTCGCGTTTGCCGCTTGTCTCTGGTTTTGTATGCTACTGCTTATATTGTCTTCACCAAGTTACCAAGCATTGAGATAGTCTCAAACTCTCTGGGCGGTGGAAGTCTACTACCATAAGTCAGGATGTGCTTAGGGTGAGGAGGTGTAATCAGCAAAGTATCTTGTAGACGGCAGCTTCTTGGCTTCTTCCAGCTCAAAATATTGTTGTCACAAATCATGCAGATACGTCATACCCACATCACTTATTCCCAGTTGCGGCAGACCGTGGGTCACAATCGTTGTGGGTCTGATCTGAAGTTCCGCTGCTTTCATTATTTAGCCTTGCAATTACCCAATGCGAATCTCTATATAGATCTGCCTAATGCCTTTTGTGAATAACTATTTATTAGCCCGTAAGCTGTTACTCCGAGCAGACACTCTGAATACTTTCACAGACTACCTTCGTCTGTCACCTTTGTCTTTTCTAAGCACTGTGGAGCTATAAGTCATCTGCAGGGTCTCAGCACCACACAAGAGATACAAAAGTCACTTGGTCTACACCACCTCACTTACCTAATGGCGTGCTTACTAATAAGACACTCAACAATAACTTCTGTCTGCCTATCTCAAGGGCCCAACTAACTGGTGGTTTTCAGATTTCTTTCACATGACAGCTAGCTACCTCACTTCTACCAGTGGTTACAAGTCAATTACCGATGATCAAGCAGCAGGTCAAAGGATACTCTCAGCTCTTCGGCAGCAACGTCAGGCTTCAGGGTGAAAAACAAGGATGCATTTCAACACTATTTAAGATTTCTGGCTTTCAGCAATGGCTGTATTAAAAGTCTACGCATTCTGCAAAATTTCACTTAAAAATGATGGTAAAATGGTATGAATAATACTCAGCACCCAAAATAAATATTAAAGATAGATACAAAGGTCCTAAATAGTATCACGTTTTTGGAACAGACTTTGACGGTTGCAATTGTGGTGTGACCTTCTGACTAAAGTTAACGGCGGTAATTGCGAATCTTCCTACGATGGATTCAAACGAAGAATTCGTTGTTGTTAACGAAGAAAATGACAACCAGCGGGATTCTATCGCTCGATTGGATGTCTTGGTCGATTTGTTCAAAAAAACCATTGGTAAGGTTTCAGCTTATCTATTCATCTTTCGTAGAAACTCTCAATCAATCCAGCATTCTCTTAAAAGATGAATTGCAAACTGCTCTCAGTGTTACACTTCAAAATGTCACTCCGGACCATACATCCACTGTTGAAGACTTAGTAAAACAGCTTGATAGCATAGTATGTTCGATTGCTGTGGGAATGACTTCTTTCAGTTGTTGAGCCCAGATGACGTCCGAAAGACCTATGTCAAACAGCTGTGCTCAAGGTTGGTGGCTGTAAATGAAGAAAAACAGTTTGTCATGACTGAGTTAGTGGAACTAAATGACCAGCTACGGACAATGGAAGCTGAAACTCGTGTATGTTTACCTTAGCCCTATATGTAACGTCAACTGTTTCTAGAAATGGAAAAAACTCATTGAACCCATATCTATGATTGCTGCTGGTATTAAGGAACTTGAATCAGTATTTTCGTAAGTTTTGCTTGCTTCTTTTTACGTTGGGATGCATTCGATTTCCCTCACTATTGTATTACCGCTTATAGTTCTAAATCAGAGGTCGATTCCGCAGATGTGGAACCTAGTTTAAGCGATGATTCTACAGTGGATGATGTGTGCAGTTTCCTTACTACAATGTACGGGAAAATTCAAAATATTCGTAACAAGGAATCAGTCCCAAAGAAAAGTATGTTTAGTGTTGCATCAAACTTCACTGTAGTTAAATCATTTGTAATTTCTTATATGTGGTAACTGGTTGAATACTTTAACTCGGTCATTTAAGTCTCAGTCTCTTGGATAAAAAATATCACCTCTTGATGGTCTACCTCAACATATATCTTGACTGTTTTCTGTTTACTAATTATATATTGTATCCTAAAGATGTAAAATGGTTACTTTTTGTTAAACTGTTATAACTTGTCACGTGAATTGGGAGTTACTTATAGTATGATATTGCCGGGCTACGTTATCCTCATCTATTTTATTGAAGCTAAAATATCCAGCTGTGTGACAGGAACAGTACTGCAGGTAAAGTTATTGTACGGCTCTTCGATTAGTAGACGAGTCTGTACGCGGTTAGTTTTAATCGTATAGTTCTTTTGTCCCCTTCCAAGGAAACCATGCCATCATTGGGATAATACCTAATGTTGATATGTCTTTTGCTACGCCGAACATTAGATGACAACAGTCCATTAGCTGACCGGGTGGGAATTTTAACTGCATGTGATGGCTTCATTAGGCAACCTGTGGACAGTGCATTTTGAAAAGGTGTTCAAATGGCGTATAAATATATCTGCGCAAAGACCCAGGACGATTACAAATCTCCTAAAGTTTTTTTTTGCCTGAAACCAGTAACTCATGTGGTAGTAATATAATTCGTAGCCTCATGTTCTCCAAATTGCTGTCATATGATAATGGAGTGGATGGGCTGAACTCAATATTTATGTAAGCATAAATTTGAGTCAGTTTCGAATCAGTGTGCCACGAGTTTGACCCCACATCCACCTATTTCAGCCTCTACTACTGACCTCTGCTATGAGTTCACACGATAGCCTAGTAAATAAAAGATCCGCTTTGTTTGAGTTCCAACAGACAATTAAGTATAAAGACTTGGGTCTCTGTAAAACTTCTAATTTTCTGGGCTTGCCATTGTCGTGAAACGTTTGGAGGAATATCATAGGTAAATTTGAATTCGTTAAGTCATAAGTCTTCAGCGATTATTGACGTGATTTGTAATTTGTGAAGCTTTACTTCATCTAATAGACGTTTTGCTTCATACGGGTTATTGGTCTAGAATGTGAAGTAAGGCGTATGCTAAGAAGTGATTTTAATCATTTGCAGATCGATTTGCTGCATTGCGAATGCTGACTAATGGAATGTCAGAATGAAAATTTAGCCACTTACGGTGTGAACTTAGCACTGCTTACGAGTACCAACTAATTAACTATTCAGTATTTGTATGCATTTTATTGTATATGTTATGCATTGTTTGAAATATACCCTGTAAAGGAATTTTCCCAAGTTCGTCAATTAACTTTATTTGTCTATTTTAGTGATCAGTAAAAGCACTTCGGAAACATGCAGTCCTGTCTGTCTGGTGGACAGTGTTCAGGTTTCCAGTGGCAAACAGTGCACAAACGGTGTTAGTTCCAATAGTATTCAGACAGATTGCTCAATCGTGAAGTGTGATGCATGGATGCAAGCCGAGATGTCTTCACCACCTGTGGTATGATTTTTTTTAAATAATGTAACCGTGATCAATTATGTATGTACTATATCGTAAACTCATTTTAGGCGGGGAAGCCAGCGTCACGACTTTCTTATTGAATTTCCCTAGTTCGTGTCTATTTCTCCTTAGTTAAAAAACCAAGTCAATTAAAAATTGGAGAGAAGATTGAAATCGATCCCTGTAAATTAATGAACGCCCATGTGATTCTCAGTAAACACTTGGAACAAAAGCCCTTGAAACGTAAAATAATAACGATTTTAATGTCGTCTGGTATCCACATAGTGTAGTTAAGTGTGATTTTAAAAGAAAAAATGTTTATAAGGGTATGTGATTTCGTCGAAGTGATTGTTAGAGGATGTCATATCGTGACTTGCGAGTGACTCTGGGCATTTCCTTCAAAAGTGATTAAAGTGGTTCGATCTCTCTTACAGTCTACGAAGTCATTACAGTGATTCAGTTGACGGTAAGCAAATACTGTATCACTTTATCATTAGTAATTTATACTACTAGTGTGTATAAATCCAAGTCCCTAATACTACAGAATGTAGCATTTTTGATATGACAATTTTCACACGCTTCTTCCAAGTTTCTTTTAAAACTGGTATTGTGTAATCCGAAAACCGGGTTTACTAAGAAATATATTAGGTACATATCTGGATTAAATAACAGGATTAGGAACGGAGACTGACTACACTCGACTTCATTTCACATGATTTTAATATTTACAATTCTTTTAGCCCATGAAGTGAATTATTAACTTAGAACTCTGCAGAAAAGTGCGATTGTCGCAGATATTATATATATATATATATATATATATATATATATATATATATATATAACAGTCTACATCGAATTTCACATTATGTTGTTTCTGAGTACAGGCAATCTAACTGCCTTATCTGCCGAAATATGTAGGCCTGTAAGAGTATATTTAAAAAACTATTTTAAATGTGAAACAAATACTTCATTCACACGCGTATGCATTGTACTATCATAGTATGGGAGTCGATAGTGCCCATCAGAGATTATAACCATGAAAAATTGTGAAACCAAAACATGTTTAAGTTTCCAATTTATTCCTGGTTTGTTTCTGCCACTCTACTATGTACCAGAATTCATGTCAAACAATAATTTCCGGTACTATACCACTGTAATTGGCATCAGATTATTCATACACATTTTTCACCCCCCCCCTTGTTGTTTCGATAATTTTATATCACCACTGCCATAGTCATACTTTTCTCCATAATGTTCCTAATTCTTCAAATTGAGTTTTGTTTTTGAAAATTCAGGTTTCCATTAATGCTACAAGCCAGCTAGAACCTCCAGCCTACGCTAGTGTCTCAAAGGCGACAGTCGATCAGGTAGGTTAACAGTCGTACTCCTCTTTATAATTCACACATATTTGACTCTGACTGGAGCTCTTTGAGTTGAACTTTTTGGTTGGCGGACGTTTCAGAGTTACTCAGCATATCACCATAGTGCTTCATTGATAGAAGAATCATCTTCATCGTGCATGAATATTTCATAACATGCTTTATGTGTTTTCAATCTGACTAGTCATTCCATAACTATGTGGGTATATTTCCATCCTAACTGTTTACTGTTATCGCCTGGAATATGTTAATGATTACGTCTTGCATGCCAAAAGCTTACCAATCGGAACATCAGGTCACTCTGAAATTCCGTATCTTAAGCTGCAAATATTCCCTAGCGTCTCAGCGTTTGTTATTTTATTAAATACTTATTGTCTCAGTCGCGATTTCGTCACAACCAAGCATTGGACAGCTGTTTTATCCTAGTTCAGGACTCCACAGCAGCGCGCACTCATTACTGTACCAGAGACTGAATCCAGGACTTTCAGGTTACCAACCGCGTACGTTTGTCATTCAAAAAGTTAGTTGAAAATCAATGGCACATGAAGTCTGTTCACTGAAGAAGAATCTCGAATTCGGACGTGGTAGCTGTCTAATCGATGCTCCGTGGTTTTCGAAGGTTTTCTAACTGACTTACGTTGGTGACATGGTCTCCTGTGAAATCAATCAGATACTCAGAGGCTTATATATGTAAAATTCAAATTTAGCTGCTCAGTAGCAGCAAAACTTTTCATGGTCTACTTCAGGATGGTAACTACAGCGCTCAAAGACGCTGAAGGATGTATCTACTCTAGATTTTAAAATTGTCGGTTTTCCGATACAACAAAAACACTTATCTGCTATTTAACGAAAATCCGTAGAATTCTGTCTGAATTACATTCACCTGGTAATTGGTACATAGTTTACACAAGCAATGTACTTTCCTATCATACTTCTTGAGGGAGACATTCGTTCCTTTTTGAACTATTGTGATGGAAAATATACTAATTTATTCGATTAGCTTCTAGAGATGATGCAACTTTCGCACATTAACTGGCATTAATCATTTTATCAGAGAGTAGATCTTTTGTTAGAGTTAATTTGAATTCCCCGTTGATCGTTCATGTTGGTCCGAAATCTTCATTTGTGTTCCTAGTACGTCGGCTTCGACGATGTCTGACGATTAACGCAATGTTGTTTTGGTTTTTGTTGGCTAGCAGCAGAATCCAAGACGCGCATTTCGTTTTACTTTGGATTCGTCAGATGGATGTACCTGCATCCCATTGAGTCTCGATTCCTTCATCCATCACTCGATGAATGGATGTAGGTACATCCAGAGGAAGAGTCTGAAATAGGAGGAAATGTGTATTCTGGATTCCACTGCTAGAGACCATCAACCGAAATAACACTACTCCTGTTCGGCTTTATTTGTTTAATTCACAACGAAAATGTCACAGTTATTTAGGCAATCTTCATAGCCATAAGGTTACAGACCCGGATTCCTAACCGCCTCTTTTTCATCTAATCCAGAAAATCTGTTCACAGTTATACAGTTGTATAGGTTTATTTTCAATAGATTTAAATACTCTTAAATTTCTACAACATTCCTGTAGCTCAAATATATGCTTTAGCTAACTTGAAATAGAAAATAAATAGGAAACATTCCAGTTAATAAGTTAGACTTCTTTATCAACTGTTTTGACTAATTCTCTAAATCTAAGCTGTTATATTTACGACTAGTGTATTTGCCTTATTTCTTTATAATAGACATCCCCACTGGAAAATATTGATTTAAAGGAACTTGTTCGTCAAGAAGTTCTTCGTATTTTAAATGAAAGAAATACGACCTCTTTCGCTCCTGAAACGACAACTTCGGAAACTGAGGAGAAAATTAATTCACTTCTAGCTCCAGTGGCTAAGACACCATCTGCTCAACCTTTAAGTTCACCTACGAATGAAATTCCATCTTCAACAAGCTCTTTAAATCTGTGGCCACATCTTCATCTTGGTGGTGTGACAAGTGTGCATGTAGCACCTTCATTTACAAGTGAAGCAGCTTCGGCAGTATCAATTCAGAATCAAACAAATGTGAATTCATCTCTTACTAGCAGTACTTCAGAGGTATGTATAGTATGTCTTCGTTTTGTCAAAGTGACTACCTAATATTGTATAGTTTTTAATTCATTGTGGTGGTGAGTCGCCGATATTAAGAGAAGTGGGAATAACCCAGCATATAACTTGCCATCGCTATGATGTATTATTGAAACTATTTTTATTTTGACTGTTTATGTTTGCCAATCATTACATATCATATAAGACTTATCTATCACAGATACCTACCTTACTGCTGGACATGTTTGGTGTGTTCAGTGAATCTTAACGTTTTACTTGTCTGGTTGGATCTTAGTTTTGCTAATGTAACTACTCGTTATGATACTGTCACGTCATAGTTCTCAACTCATTCATGTTGATTGCCAACTGGGTAGTCAAATTAAATTAGTACCATACAAAGAATAATCTCAGAAGTTTAGAAAATTCATAGGATAGACTCATGTAACGGAGATTGGTTGCATAATGTTTACAATCTCTTTTTTTTATAGCTTTGCTATCAAAGCTCTTACTTCACTAGTAGCAGTTAAAAATACAAGTCTCATTCAATACTCTGCTGATGGAAGTATACCGAAAGTAGTTTTGTAGCATTATGCTTGTCATTGTATATGCGCTTCAGGCAAACGGAACACATGTCGTAGATGTAACAGTTGCTATTGGAAAGGCAGATTATTTAATAGGTTCGGACGTTTAAAACTGTCAAGAGACCATTTTGCAATATTCACAGATTCCTACTATAAGTAATGAAGTAACAGTATTTTAATTTCTATAATAATAATAATAACACTAAAACTAATTTAGTTGTCAACTTTTGTGATAGTTTTTTTAGTGTAATTATTGATTTGATTTCATCTCACACTGATACTTTCTAACAACTATCTCATTCATACATCACTATTCTGTAACTTCGTCTGGATTGCTAGTAGCGCACACCCGTGAAGTAGTAACTGAGATCAATATTGCGCATTTACAGTCCTTGTGACAAAAGCCATCAGAAAGGGTAAACCTGAAGCTAACGTGACTTAGAAGTCCTCTATATATATTCCGATGTCACATACGTGTCGTTTGCTGGTGATTGCGTGAGAGTTGGGGGGGGGGAGATTAAGTATGGCTAGACAGAGATATAGATTGGTTATAGATTGTTCCCAGCTTCTAACCGAGGAATTTTATGCAGGACAATACATGTGCCTTGTATTCTACTGCTTTTCACTAACAACCAAGGTATGACTTTAATTATTTTGAATATGTCGGAGATTGAGTAGTTTGTTTTATATGCCAATCGTAATTAGTTATCTTCATCTCAATCCTATAGTTAACCCCTTCATTCTCTTATTAAACAGTCCGCTATTTCGTATTTCTTGCTCTCATTTTATTAGTAATAACCGTTTGGTCAAACATCAATTAACATGAGTTTTGAGTTAAACTTTGTCATCTTTACTTTTTGTTTGCCTAACATTCCGATTTCACCGCATTATGCTTTTTTAATTACGTCACTGAAGTGGAGACACTACAATAATTACATTTTTTTAATGTTCTTGCAGCTTGATGCAAAGTTATGAAATGAAAAATGAATTTGATTTATTTTTCAAATGTGTGGTGATGACTTGCTATGTTTGGGATTGTGAGGCTGATTAAATGCATGAAATTCATATGATAAGTTTTTGCAGTCAGTAACTTTTGCAGAGGCTCACAAAAAAGCCTTACTTGACATCATTCTCTTCAATTTTTTGCGCGAAGTGATTGATGATAATAATAATGAATTCCAGTACTAAGTCACATGGATTACACATCATCTTTTAGTCAGTTTTACTTGCATCTTATATATTCTTATATCTGCCTAATGTGGGTTTAATGCCAAACAGTTAACTAACAGCTGATTATTTCTATGTGCATATACCAACTGTCAATCTAGTATGTGATCTAGCTTCTATTACAACTTACTTTGTACTATGACGACCTGAGGTAGCCTGGTACAACATACAGTTAGCTGTGGACACAGCAGTGAAAGCTGTCAATAAGCTAAAACCTAAAGTTAATAAAAGCCACTGGATCTCTACCGCCTCATCCGAACTGATTGACGCAAGAAGACTGATTCCAGCGAGCTCCGATTATGATGAGGAGCGAAAGGTACTTAAACGAAGACTAACAAAAAGTTTTCGCAAGGACCGTGAACAGTGGTGGGCGACAAAAGCGAAAGAGATGGAAAAGGCATCGGCGATTGGCAACACTATTCAGGCTTATCAGGGAAGCAGGTAGCAAAAGGCAAATGATAAACGAAACAATCTCGGAGAAAAATGGCACCATAATTAGCTCCCAGGATAGACGACTGGAGCGCTGGGAAGAACACTATGAGGAGCAGTTCAATTGGCCCACAGCCACACTTAACCTGCCGAACATCCAACACCTCCCTGAATGGGATACAAACACAGGTCCTCCTTCCTTAACTGAGGTTACTAAAGCTGTCACTAATCTGAAGCAAGGCAAAGTAGCGGGACCTGATGGATTGACTCCAGAGGTATTTAAGTACGGTGGAGACAAATTACTGTCTGCGTTAACTGAGGTTCTAGGCAGCGTCTGGGAATCAGAGGAAGTCCCATTGGGTCGGTGTAAGTCACTGATCATCCCGATATACAAGAAGCGAGACAAGTCTTCTTGTGATAATCACAGAGGGATTAGCTTGACTAATATAGTATCTAAAATCCTAGGCTCAATAATACTGCGTAGACTAAGTGGTGCTCGGGAGGCACAAACACGAGAAAACCAGACAGGTTTTAGGCCAGGTAGAGGGTGTATTGATCATGTCTTCACCTTCCGACAGGTTCTAGAACATAGGCATTCCTACCGGTGTCCGACAATCACTATATTTCTTGACCTAAAGGCGGCATTCGATTCTGTCGACCGAGAGGTTCTCTGGCGATAGTTGGCTGTAAAGGGAATGTCGAGAAAATACATTGCACTAATTAAGGCACTCTACTCGTACTCATGCAGCCAGGTGAGGGCTTATGGCGAGTTGTCATCTGAAGTGGTGACGACTAGGGGCGTCTGTCAAGGATGCCCATTATCCCCATTCCTATTCAACTTCCTCATAGACGTACTAATGGACGTAACCCTAACACACTTCAGAGACTCAGGGATTGACTTGCTACCAGGGAATAATCTCGTTGACTTAGAATATGCGGACGATATAGTCCTTCTAGGCGAGGACGCTGACAAAATGCAGAGTCTACTGAACACCCTGAACAACAATCTTCGTATGTTTGGCATGCGATTCGCCCCTGTAAAATGTATGATGATGCTGCAAGATTGGACTACACCGACCCCTAGATTAGAAATAGGAAGTGAAGTGGTAGAGCACGTTGACCGCTTCAATTACTTGAGAAGTACCATCAGCCCCAACAGGTTGATCTCCGACGAAATCTCAGTACGAATACAGAGGGCTCGTTTCGCATATGCCAGTTTACGCCGTCTCTGGCGTAGACGCGATATCCGACTATCGACCAAAGGGCGTGTGTACTGCTCATCAGTCCGCTCCGTCCTCCTTTATGGCTGTGAGACCTGGCCATTGAGAGCAGAAGACATGAAAAGATTAGCTGTCTTCGATCATAGGTGTCTGCGTTCTATCTCCCGCGTGAAGTGGTATGTATAATAAGGTGAGCAATATTGAGGTTAGGCGTCGAGTGCTAGGTAAGGAGGGGAAATGAATCGACGAGGCTATGAAATTACATCGACTGAGATGGTTAGGACATGTGTTACGTATGTCTAGTCATCGCCTTCCTCGACGGGCAATGTTAGCTGATATAGGGTCAGGCTGGAAAAGAGCTAACAGAGCTCAAACGAAAACATGGCACCAGTCAATGAAATCCACAACAGTTAATTTAAGCCAAGTAGGAAGGTGTAGACTTCCTGGTTGGGGTCCTCGGGACGGTAAAAACCAATGGTTGGAAACTATTGGTGACATGGCTCAAAATCGTTCTCAATGGCTGGTGCAGATGCATCCACTCCTTGTGACTTATGATTTCCAATTAAACTGGTTTGTTCTCCGTTGTTACTATTCCTTTGTCTCACACCTCTGTTGACTGACTATATTATGCATTTCTACTTTCTTCTCTTGCTTTGTGTGCTACACGGAGTGTGGCGACTTGAACTGCCGCACATATGGGCAAAGTTCTATATGGTGAAAACCGACCGATGACGACCATTAACTGAAAATCACAGTGAACAACTGAGGGCAGCCTCTTCTTACCATATTCTGAATACTGGTAATGTGTTATATGCGAAAGCAAACAATTTTTGGCTCAACTCCATACTACGCTGTAGTTCCAGATCACTGAAGTGTCCTTGGCTAGAACAAAAGTCATTCAGTGTTCATTGTTTTCGATTACGGATGTCGGAATTTCACCAGCTTCATTCTCAATTACTGGTTATATTCCTTACGCATTTTGGTGTTTTCTCATAAGTAACTGATGCATCTTAGCTACAATTTCATCATCAACAGCTTCAAAGCAAAATTTACTGAGAATTCTCAGGGAGTTCTCTACATGCCTAACTTCTAATTATCGCTACTGTTTTGCAAAAATAATTCTAAGGTGTACAAAAGTCAACGTTATCATTCTAATTTGGCAATCAAAGCAACCTTCGGTAACTTACAACTTATTTAAAAAATTCTATAAACAGTGTGCTTATTTCCAAAATTGTATATTTAGTGCCTTGCTTAACAAACTGTACTGTAAACACCGTATACAGCATAAAAATACTCCTTATTACGAAAGTTATTTATGTGGTTGAATGAGACTGCCTATTTTCTAACCTTTACAAATTATTCCACTACTTTTGCCACTTTACAGTTAACTCTTATTTAGACTACATTAAATTTTTGATTGTCAGTCATATAGCACTGCTGGCATATCATCTGAATCTAAAACATCAATATCCTCATTTTTACCCGTTGTTGGTGGTTTTGTTCGCCGTCAGATACAACAACTAACTAATCCTGAAAATAAAACTTCGGATTATGGATCTTGGTTAAGTGAACTGGGTCTCAATCCTTGTGAAAGTAATTTCAATGAACCAGTGGAACGTCCATCTGCTCCTAGCTTCTCTGTTGATGAAGTAAGTCACTACTGTTGCTATGTATTATTTATGAATTTCCCACTTTTTAATCATGTGGATCTACACTGGTAGTCATCTCTTCACAGTGTAGGTCATTTACAACTTTAGGGCATGTATATTAACACAGATTATTGCCGTAATTTACCAATTATTGTTGTTTTAATATCTCATCATTTTAGGTAATTGTCATATTTGATAAAATTCTGTAGTTCATATACAACTCAACTATGGGAATCTAGAAAACAAGCAATAAAGGTTAATAAAACAGGATTTAATGAATTCATCAAATTTCGGTAGAACTCGTCAGCTGAATACTCTACATACACGGATATATATATACTTTTGAAATTACATTGGGAGATATAGGACTGATAAGTAAGCAAACTACATTGAATTAGTCATGCAGAAAGACAGGTGCGAATGTTTTTCCAGGTCATGTTCAATTAGACAAGGGGAGAGAGAGTATGGGAGATCAAAATTAAGATAAATTGCATTACGCTTCAATTACATCACTTAGATAAACAATTAGACATTAGAGAATTTAACAAGAATTGCAACCAGAGGGATGTCAATAGTAATAGTTATAATAATAATAATATTGATAGTGTTGAAGTGAGTTAAGATAATCCTACTGATAAAGGATAGTTTTAAAGGAATCAAGAATAATAATAAAAATAATAATAAGAGGTAGAATTATAAGTAAAACGTATTACCATGGTAGATTCAGAGTCACGACTATCTCCTTTTGTACACAGAGACCTGGTTTGTAATCCACAAGTGGATTACGGACATGATATCGACGCGGTCAAGTCATTCACTATTGTCAGCAGACAAAGAAACAAGAAGATGCTTGCAATTACAGAGGCTTGTGCAATTCGAGTTTACAAACTAGGTCTCTGTGTACAAAAGGAGATAGTCGTGACTCTGAATCTACCATAGTAATACGTTTCACTTATAATTCTACCTCTGTAATTGCAAGCATCTTCTTGTTTCTTTGTCTGCTGACAATAGTGAATGACTTGACCGCGTCGATATCATGTCCGTAATCCACTTGTGGATTACAAACCAGGTCTCTGTGTACAAAAGGAGATAGTCGTGACTCTGAATCTACCATGGTAATACGTTTTACTTATAATTCTACCTCTTATTATTATTTTTATTATTATTCTTGATTCCTTTAAAACTATCCTTTATCAGTAGGATTATCTTAACTCACTTCAACACTATCAATATTATTATTATTATAACTATTACTATTGACATCCCTCTGGTTGCAATTCTTGTTAAATTCTCTAATGTCTAATTGTTTATCTAAGTGATGTAATTGAAGCGTAATGCAATTTATCTTAATTTTGATCTCCCATACTCTCTCTCCCCTTGTCTAATTGAACATGACCTGGAAAAACATTCGCACCTGTCTTTCTGCATGACTAATTCAATGTAGTTTGCTTACTTATCAGTCCTATATCTCCCAATGTAATTTCAAAAGTATATATATATCCGTGTATGTAGAGTATTCAGCTGACGAGTTCTACCGAAATTTGATGAATTCATTAAATCCTGTTTTATTAACCTTTATTGCTTGTTTTAAATTCGTAGCGGGAAATAAATGTTTCCGAATCTAGAAAAACTGTAAAAGTTAGAACAATGTAGATAACATTGTCTTCGAGTGTGTATACGGTTTCCTGCAAACAAGCACTATCATCTTTAAATTTTAATTGTCTTTTTATTATCATCATTTCATTTTCCTTTTAATCTTGTTGAATTGGAGACTTCACCTCAGTATTTTGACTTAGCATTAAGTCCGGTGATTAGATGACAACATGTGTGAAGTCTACATGTTCTGCTGATTGATTCCTCTTAATGTTTATTATCGAAACAGTCGAAATAGATTCTATTGAGCACTTTTCTTCAACTGTTCATAAATGGATGTACTTACAAATCTGAGTAGATAGAGGTGTACAAATAACAAATTCTGTGTTGTGGGATTTTTTAGGTATTATGGAGGTGAATAAACTAGTTGCACATATCGTAAAATATCACGACTGTCAGCGATGGAAGTTTTATTTTTAAAGAATTTAATGTCATCCATTCACACTACCCAGAGTTAATTATTATTGTTGCATCATATTTTTACTTTTACTAAGATTTCCCAAGAAATAAAACTAACCGTTTTGGCATAAAAGAGCTTTTATGACGAAAACATATAAGGAAACAGCCTTATTTAGTGTATAAGTCAACGTGAATGAGCACAAAGTAGGTTATATGAAAGTGAGGGTTGAGAGTAATTTCTTGAAGATATAGTTTCAGAACATCACCCTGCCTGGTTAAGCAAAGGTCAAAAAAAATCTATTCGCAGTGCTATTCTGGCGCATCTTGTGGAGACAGAACACAAGATTGACGTTAATCATGCTTTTAGGGTCATTTACCGCATACCTATGAATCTCAATTTCGCTTTAAGAGTTCGACTTCTAAATATTGCTGAGGCTGTGGGGATTCACATTAATAAGCCTAATTTATGCATCCAGAAGAAGTTAGTCCAGTCATTACCATTACCTTGGCCATCCAGGTTTGAATAATCCAGAATTTTTGTGAATTTTCCCTAATTTTAGTTGATATTCTATCCGCTGTTATATCTTTACTATTATTATAATTTAAGCATCTTTAATTAACTGCAATAGCATTGATCATACTTTACAAATCGATATTATTTAAAAAAAACGCTAATATTGTTATTAACTACTAATTTAAAATATTCTGTGTATAAAAACATATATATATAATTGTAGAGCCTGGAAGAGGAATTTATCGAAAAGAATATTCTTTGCTCGATTATTTTGTTTTTATAGTTTCAGAACAGTTGTTTCCTCTTCGATTATTATATTTCTCGTGCCTCCACACTTTACTTTTGCTTTAATGTAGTGCAGTAATTTTGACTAGATCATAATTGTTACGCTTTGTGGGTCTGCCTTCTGTTTGTGCTCTATGAAAGAATCTAAATCAGCTGTTTTCTTGTTCCTTTGTATTCCGTTGCGTAGTAAGTTATTGTTTAAAACTAAGAAGTATGATTGCTATTCACCATCAGAAGCATAAATGCTCCATCAAAAATGTTTTATCTTGAGTGGCCGATGTAAGATTTAACCCCCATTCAACAATTGGTCCTCATAGTACAGTCTATATAGCTCTATATTTGTGAGCCAAAGGGTGGTGGTTCGATTTGTGCTACCACTCATGTTCCATTTCACATCTGTTCATCAGATCCTCTTTTTCTTGCATTAACTTCTGCTGGTTTAGGTGTTATCTGAATCATTTCTCTTGGTTAGTAACACTGGTTTATTCCTGGCAGTTCTGAATATTTTATTGATTACTTACAAACTTACCTACGCTTTCTCTTTATTTCCTTTTTTAGGAGCAACCTTGGTGTCCTGGGTGCCGTCAAATGTTTGCATCACGAAGTGAACTTGAGGATCACTTCCTTTCTTGCTTAATATGAATTGACTGGATTTCTCACTTCGAATTTCGTAATTTTCAAAACGTAACAAACATTTGGTCTTGGATTTGTTTGGCCACATAGTCATCACAATACTTTCTCTATCATTCCATGCAATAGTACTAACAATGACGTAACCAAAGGCCTGTGAGCCACATTTATCATTCAAAAGATGAATCACATTATAATTTGACGCCCATGTTTGAGGCTTTGTCCTCGCTTATTCATGACTTTTGTCACATACACATAGATTAACTATCATGACTTTTCACCATCAGTTTATTGTTCATTTACTTCATTAACCTTTTATCCATCACCATTTTAAGATTAATTAATTTATTCATCAACTGTTTTTTTTCTGTCTCTCTTTATCGTCATGTATCTGCGACGTCAGTTAAGTGTGAGTAGTTAGTTCTTCGTGATTTGGAGGCAATAACTCGTTTATCTTCGTAGCATAGCATCTCATTTGTGTTCACTGCCTGTAACAAAGTCCCAATTGTTTATATTCAGCTTAAGGATACTTCTGTGAAGTTATGAATTTCAGCGACAGTTCCCACTGACTATTCAGAATTGATCAACTGTTTCACACTGGAATCGTACATTTGTAGTAATTAATTATGAGCAAAAAAGGTTTTCCTCTCATTGCAACAAACCAGTTGACTGCTTACTTGACTTGATAAACGTGTCAGTGTATTATCGGAAATAATAATAATAATCATTTACTTTATTCCAAAAACAGTACTTGTGATACAGAATGGGATTTTCAGCATTAATCACAATATTGCATCTAATTTCCTCAAATTATAAATAAAATTAATCACACAGAAAATTTTCCACACTTACAATAGGGGTAATGTCAAAAAGCATGCAGCATATAAAATGGAAATAATAATAATGATAACAGCTAAGGTAATAATAATAATAATACGAGTGAAAATTGCCTTGGGTTTGTTTCACACAGTATTGTCGATGCGGTATAGAAATCCCAGCATGTTTAAAAATATTGAATATAATGTTCTCTTTACATGATATGGTGAGGGGAAAAACAAAGGTTACAGCAGTCATAGAGATAAGTTGCTGTTTGCAATTATGAAAGTAAAACAAAGAAGCAACAGGACCATGAATATAATAGAAATAATAAAAGTAAAACTTGAAGGTATATAAGGATGGATGGAGGAAATTGTTTATTTACTAGATGAAAAAAGGTTAGTCAATTCTTGCCTGACACTATTTTCATCACATAAAATACGTGCCAAGTATGGTATCATAGAATTTTTATACTTAGACGTGCGAGCATACAGTTTTCTAAAGTTACTTCATTTTAAGTGTACCAGCATAATAGTAAATTTTTAAACTGGTATATGTGTCTATATTTTGGAATACTAATTCAGTTGGTAAGTAAAATTAGTTTTGTCTGTAAATTAATTGAAAAATGAATATTTGAACCATAAGTTTATTGGTCATCTTACGGGCGGCGATTGATGGTTATGCGCCAAGTATATTTGTATCTCATGTCTCAATACTCCGGAACTATTGTTCAAGTTGATACAATTGCTTTTTAAGCAGACTAAAAGACTTCTACTGGAATTACAGAGTATCATTGATTGAGTCTATTTTTTGGAAGTGTGTTGGTGGTTTATACTTCCCTGCTGAACTCAGCGTGGAAGTTTATTTTTTAATAACTTGGATAACTTCAATATGATTTGACTTGAATGCATGTTGTTTGTGTGATCAATTTTAGAAAACACTATACCTTATTGTCAGTGACTTGTTCATATTAAGATTCTTTTAAGTTATAGGATTCAAGACCTACAAAGTTTCATTTTAAAATTTTCCTGTCTTCGTTTCTGAAGTTGTACATGTATAACATCATATGTTATTCAATGCTTGGTATCAGTCGACGAGATCTACTTTCCGTGGTTGTTGGCTGGCAGTCATTATTACTGATGCATTTCTACAATCTTAATGGTGACTGACGTAGAACTCTACACGAAAGTGCAACATATCAAGCTGCCAGACGTCGCAAAAGTGCATAAAGGTAGAGAAAAAAATTCAACAATAAACAGAAATGTACAGGAGAAAGAATAGTGAGTATTTTCGGAATCTGGAAAATCACAGGGAACCACGTCAGCAACCATTAGTCCTTGGCGTCTCAAGGGCCCCAGCTAAGCAGTCTATACCTCTCTTCGTGACTGAAACTAGTAGTCAAAGACTTCACAGTGTGATATCAAGTTTTGATTTGACCACTCATGACTCTTTTCCAACTTTATTTTATATTAGTTAACATCCTTCCTCAAGGAAGTCCATGACTTCATTGACACAGTTTCACAAGCTCATCGACTAACTCTCCCTCCTTAACCTAAAGATTTAAGCATAATTTCACTATTACTGACCATATTGTACCACCGAACGCGAGAGACAGTACGCAGATATGTATTACCAAAGACGGTTAGCCTTTACATTTACTTGAACAATTCTGTAAGTTTAAGTGGTATAATTTAATGCTTAGATATGTGTTACTACTAAAATACGTAAAGCTAGTTACCCCGCAGGACTAATAGTTGAAACAGGCGCACTTATTTTTTTTCTCCTTCACGTTCCCCAGTAGAACCTAGGGCTTCAAGCTAGTGGCTTGAAGTTGCTGTAGCAGTGTTCATTTTACAGGATGGGGTTGCCAGCCTCATGTCCAACCTTTCCTCTTCACCAGCATTATTTCTGGCTTAGCGAGGTAAAGGATTGCGTCGGCCGGGGATCGAACCCCGGACCATGTGCATGTTCGGCGAGCGTCCTAACCGCTATGCCACTGAACTATCTAAACACAACATAAATATTGTGAAGAATAAGAAGTTCAGCAAAGATATCTTTTCGGCGATTTCATTTTCAAAAGCTGTACAATCGCATTTAAATACATAATTTTACATGGAGACAATTCTTGTTTGATTCTACATAATTATGACAGTGAATAAAAGGTGATAATTATTTCCAACTAGATATGGTTATACGAGAGGCTTAGAAACAAAAATTACGCAGGATTAGAACGGATATCAAGTGTGTAAAAATGAGCATGGATACAAAATTGAAATAATAATTTTCAACTTGAGATGGGAACCAGGAGGTGCGAATATAGATTACAAGAGCCTTAGAAACAAAATTACATGGAATTTAGCAAATTACAGGTGTGCAGAAAGTGAGCATGGAAACAAAATTGATATAATAGTTTTAACTTAAAATGGAAGTTAGGAGGTGTGAATATAGATTACAAGAGCCTTAGAAACACAAAATAATTGCACAGGATTAAGATATAATTGCAAATTTTTTAAAAACGGATTATAAATGTGAACAGGAAAAGCATGGAAACAAACTTAAAATAAATGTTTTTATAACTGAAAAAAAATGGGGTGAATCGAATGAAGACTGAGGGAGTAAGAATCACACACATAGCGAACGAAAAGGGATCAAAAAACAAAAACAGAAACAAAAATGGAAGCTACGGTAACATACCGAACTAAGTCCATGGTAGTTGTAGAGGTTGAACTAATTTCTTTTGGACACACAGCTCCGGCTTCTCGATGCATATTGAGAGGGCTTCTGCAGTACAGAGAAGTCGGAAACAAACTGCTTTCGGTAGGTTTCTGTTGACCTTGTAAATTACTTTGAATGAATCAGTTGAGATGTTGTGGGAGGTATTGATCAGATGCTCAGTAATGGCACTTCTGATTGAACCGGTGCCTCCTCTTTGCAGCCACGCTGGGTAGTGTTCTCTAACACGTTTTGAAAGGACGCGCATACAACGACCTATGTACCTTGCTCCGCACGAGCAGGTGAACTGGTAAATGCACATTGAATTGGCCATATGCGACAGTTTGTCCTTCCCATTGCTCCGAAAAAGTGGGCGGCTAGAGAATGTCACTCTTAGAGTTGCTGCCGGAAAAGTCTTCTTCAGGGATTTAGAGATTCTCCTTTTAAGGATATCTGCTGCCAGGTCTCCCCTGAATTCCAGATTCAGATAGAGTGTCTTCTTTTGCACTGAAATACATTCTTCTCTTTTTGTCCTTGGTTTCATGTTCTTCTCCACGAAACGTGGCGGGTATCGGTTTTGAATCAGGATGCTTTTTAGGAATAGGAGCTCTTCTTCTAAACAGTCATCACTGCAGATTCTTCTGGTGCGGTGGGCTAGTGAGATGATGAAAGCTCTTTTACGGCTGATAGGTACCCAACTGTAGAAGTTTGTCAGCTGGCCATTCCATGTTGGTTTTCTATGGATAGATCTTTTCAGAGTTCCGTCGTCTCTTCTTGTCAATTCGACGTCCAAGAATGGAATCTTTGATTTATTTTCAACTTCCATTGTGAATTTAATTGAAGGATGACAGTTATTAAACTCCTGTAAGATGCAATTTAAATCGGAATCGTCTTGACAAACTATAAAAGTGTCATCGACGTATCTTTTGTACAGCAACAATTTGTTCATTGTTGGTTTAAGGATGCCGTTTTCCATGTTGGCCATGAAGCAGTCTGCTAGGAGTGGGCCAAGGGGAGAGCCCATAGCAATCCCGTCCTTCTGTCTATAGATGACGTCGTTGAACGTAAATTGTACGTTGAGTGTGCATCTTAATAACAACTCTTTTAGGTATGAGGTTGGTATTCCGATGCTCAGGTTATTGTCGTCAATATACTTGCAAAGGAAACAAATTGTTTCTGTGAGCGGCACATTCGTAAATAGAGATTCCACGTCCAGTGATAACATTCGTTTGCCATTTACATTCAGGTCTTTTATGCACTCAATAAATTCAAACGTATCTCGTAGAGAGTACTTACAGAGTTGTCGTCTCACAGGCTCCAGCATCTCGGATAACCATTTGGTAATGGGATGGTACGGTGATCCCTCCATGTCCAAAATCGGTCGAAGTGGTAGGCCTGCTTTATGTACCTTTGGCAGACCATATAGTCGAGGGATGATGGATCCTGTTGGTCTCAGACGTTCAAATAGGTCCTCAGTTATGAGGTGGTCGTTCTTCATTCTCCTAAGAACATCTGTCAGTTGCTGTTCCATCTGCTCTGTCTTATTCTTCTCATTGTCTGGTTTTGAAAATTTATTATCATTAGAGCTGTCAACTTGTTGATATACACATCTCGGTCCATAAGGACCACTCCCGAACCTTTGTCTGGACGTGTAATGATCAGGTCTTTGTTGTTTCTCAAGTCTTTAAGCTGCTGTTTGTGTTCTTTTGTCAGGAGGTGTCGGGCTTTAGTTTTTGAATTGAGGTATTGATTGCAGCAGTCAGAAATTGTAGACTTGAAATGTAAGAGATCTGCATCAGAGACGGGTGTGATGTCTCTTGTTTGACTCATAAGATTTTCAAATTGGACATACGTGTGTAGTCTGTTACTGTATAGATTTACATCACAAAATTTCAACCCTAAAGATAGGGCTTCTAGTTGTAAGGTAGACAAGCTGACGGAGGAGTGATTGAAAACAAATTTATCGGGGTCGACGGGAAACTTTCTCTGTACTTCGACGGATTTGAGGCTCCTATTCAATTCGGATTTGATATTCTCAGCTCGTTTGCTTTGCACCAAGATAACATATTCATTAAACGATTCCCTTTCACCTGATGATAGTTCGGAAAGAGCAGATGACCTCTGTGATATATTTCTCTGTAACTCGAATATACGCGAGCTAATAGAATCAATAAGGTTTCTTGTGTGGCGTTGGAGAGTTTTAGAATTGGGATAAATGTGATGTCTTCGGAGAGCTTTCCAGAACCACTTCGGATATCGATGATTCTTAATGCAGTCTTCATAGAAGTCTAACTTCGCATTCACTTCGGCAAGTTTGACAGAGTAACGTAGAAACGCATTGAGTTCCTTCACTGTCGTAGGGTCCTTGCATTTTTTCAAATCGTGGAAAATACCCATTGGAACATTAGATTGAGAAGAATAAGAAGTTCAGCAAAGATATCTTTTCGGCGATTTCATTTTCAAAAGCTGTACAATCGCATTTAAATACATAATTTTACATGGAGACAATTCTTGTTTGATTCTACATAATTATGACAGTGAATAAAAGGTGATAATTATTTCCAACTAGATATGGTTATACGAGAGGCTTAGAAACAA